CACTTCTTCTGTTCTCCATATTTGTTAAAAACTTGACTGCAAAGCTTTGAGAAATGTGCTGGTCTGCACAGTGTTTTGTGGGATTCCAGCTCATTTAATGGACAGAATACTTGAAGGGCAGCAGTTGCTTGGTACATATCACAATATATACCAAGTGGATTGCAGTTCCATATCATGAGGCCAACATTATTATCCATTTCAGTTTAGCTCCTCATCTATATGCATCTGTTTTGAGGAAGTAATTTCACACATCGGGCAATTATCTCCTCTCAGTAGAAAAAGATTTAATTTTTCTTGGGCCTCTTTTGACGTTAATTTTGACCTAACCCCATCCTTTGCATGTTGACAACTAAATTTTTAGATCTTTATTGCTTAAAATGTGAACTACTGCTGTTTGCTCTTTGAGGTGTGTCTCCCCTCTGCACTCTAAGGTTAAGGAAGTGTTGGCACACAGTAGTGTGCTAGGCTAGAAATTATAAATTTTGATTTCAGATCTCAGCTCTTCCTTGAAGCCACTGGAAGGAAGGGTGATCTTTGGCCTTATTCCAAATACTGTCCCTATGCTGTCTTAGAAGCAATATAAACATCACTGGATCCTTTTTATTTGCTGCAGTGACTTGGGAAATATGCTTGTAGTAAGGAAATTGCATTCAAGAGTCTTGGAAATAGAATCTTCTATAACAGTGGCTCTGTATTTCTTTTGCAGCCTAGGATTAGGAATGAATGTGGAATCACATCTTTGTATTCAGAAGTGAACTGATCTATATCTCCCAAACTAATGTGCGGATCAAATTATTTTTCAAATTTTGTACTGCTGTAAAAAAATGCCCAAATGCATTTAACAATGCATATTTTACAGTAGATTTAGAAATTGTATTTATTACACAAATTATTTGCGTCTAATTAAATATCCAAAGAGTGAACAATAAAAGAGGCATAATAGTAGTAATTAATATTAGAATATCAAATTAGAGCTTCTAAAATTAGATTGTGCCAATAAAACCATGGCTACGTAGTGAGGGTAGGCTTTTTTTAAACAAAAATGTCATCAGCAGGTCCTGAAAACAGGTTTGATGCCTGCCTGATGTCCTACACAACAGAGGCAATACACGGCAGCCCTACTCTGAGTGGATTTTAAACAGACTGCAGGTCCTTCTAGAACCCCCAAGAGTGCTTCAATTTGATGACCTCGCTGACAAGGGAGGCTCGTAAGGGAGAAGGCACTCTTGCAGGTATCCTAGTCGCAAACGGTTTAGGGCTTTATAAACCCATAACAAAACCGTAAGCCTGGCCTGGCCTGGCCTGGCCTGGCCTGGCCTGGCCTGGCCTGGCCTGGCCGCAAATAGGCAACTGGTATAGTTCCTACAAGAGAATTGCTGCATGCTGGAAAGTGAAACTTCCTATCCAGTGGACTTGCTACAACTTCTGGACCAACCTTAGGAGCAGTCCAATTAGCGCTCATTTCAGTAATCCATTGAGATTAGTAATACGTGATACACTGTGACCAAGCTATCCCTGTGCAAGAGAAGCCATAGCTGGTATACCAGTGAAAGCTGGGAAACAGCACTCCAAAGTACTATTGTGCTTGGGCCTCCAATGACAAAGATGGATTCAGGAGTATTCCAAACTGCAAATTCGATCTTTCAATCCTATCCAAAACTGGCAGCAAACCTGTCTCCCAGACTCAGAAACCGTTCACCCACAAGGCCTCCATCTTGCCAGGATTTAGCTTCCATTTATTTACTGTCACTGAGTCTAGGCATTGGTCCAGGACTTGTACTGCCTTACCTGACTGAGATACCACAGGGAGAAATAGCTGTGCCTATCACCAATATCACCAAACAGTGATCATTCCCAGCAGCTGTCTGTAGATGTTAAATGGCATCAGGGAAGAAATGGTAATCAGCAGAAACCTGTGGCTGATCTGGTAAAGGACCTAGGGATAGTCATTCATTATTACTTTCTGAAAATAACCATGTGAGAAGGAGGGGAATCACAGTAACAAGAGTGCATCCAGTGCCCAACCCACCAAATCATTCCAAGAAGATGGAGAGTTCTTGGATTAGCCAATGAGAAACAGAGCAGAATTAATAGAGTTGCACCATTCCTGCCCCTTTCTCAATGGAAATAATCCATCAAGGCAGAGTCAGGTCCATAACTGGACAGACACCCACACTGAAATTGTTCTAGTTAATCAGTATCTCTCAAGAGTGGTTGGAGTTGCTCAGTCACAACCTTCCCAAGCGCCTTCCCCAAGAAAGAGGTATTTGCAGATGGGGGTTGCTTGTCAAATAGCATTGGTTCAAGAGCAGTTTCCTTCAGAAGTGGTAGTACTTCTGTATATATATGCATTATATGTAGATAAAGTACATTAGAAGTATTTGTTTTGGGAGAATAGACATTCAAAACATTTGTCAAATGGCTATATATATATATTAATTTCATGCAGATTTAAAAATGCATAGTAGTATAACCAGGGCTTTTTTGCCATGGAATGCACCAGAACTGCATTCCGGCACCTTTTTTTTCAATGGATTTTACTAAGTGATTTTGAATTGCCTGTCTGCTTAGCAGGTCGGCAGCAAACATCATTAACATAGTGCCTGGGGCTGCTTTTGTGTCCTTTTGTGTCCCTGCTGATAATGAGATAGTGAGGGCAAGGGTGCTGCTGGGCTCTCTGCTCTGCTGCTCGGCTTGGGATTGGTGTGTGTGGGCACGCTGCTTACTGCCTGCGGCGACCATTATGTTTATTTGTGTGATGTGAGTTCCGGCACCGTTTTTTTTTTTTTACAAAAAAAGCACTGAGTATAACTATGGGACAGAGCTATGAATGAGTACACACAAAACAGACTGATCCATTCACGCCTATCTGATACAAGGTGTAATGTCTCAGATGTTGTTGCTTCTAGAAATAACATTTCTGGTCCTTATGCCTATTTTGTGTGTGGGCAACATCTGGCAAAATGTTAGCAGCATCAGGATTTTTCAGTGCAAGACGAATGACTTCTGAGTCTTAATTCTTGCTTTGCCCTTCCCTCTGAATTTCAGAAGTAACAAAAAGCCGCCTGCTGCAAAATATTCAAATCAGCTTAATTTTGCATAATATATGGAGGTCACATAATTGAGCTCAGCTAAGTTTATAGTAGCTCATTTTAACATACATTAAAGGAGAAAAGAAGTAATGATCCCTCTCTTAAGATGTTATTGAAGATGTGACAGTTGGTTCTTCATTCCATATTTGACTGTGGCCTCAATCCAGCCAAATCTGGAAAAAGTTGGTAATGTTTAAGTTCTACTAAAATCTATAGCAAAAGTCCATTATGCCTAATTAGTACCTTTTCAGTTTCAATGGAACTTTAATATTACTTTATTTGGATTTAGTACAGTCTCTACAATAACTTATTGTATGCTACCAGTTCTCTGTGTATGAAAGCTGTGAACAGTGGCACTTGTTGGTACATTTGGATGGGCATTTCCATATGCACTGACATGAATAGAAGTGTGACTTTTATTATCCTTGATAGGAATGTTTGCAATTTTGTTGCTTGTTTTGGTCTATATAGACACAGACTGGTCTGTATAGACTCAGTTAGGTCTATCGACAAATTTTTATCAATGTGCATGTTTTACTGAATTCACACATCAATCCATGATGTATGTCAATTTCTCTGTACCATGCTGAAACATAAAGGTCCCTTTTTGTCTATGTGTATATCTGTATCCACTGTGGGATTACATTCACCTAAAAGCAAATCTTTATGTGCAAAACTGACAACTCATTTCCTGGACACAAGCAAATATGTCTTGGACTTAAAATGAATTAGGTAGTGTATTGTAATTTTAATAAAATCTGTTATCCCTTGTGCTCAAGGATAACATAATCAGCTATTGCCCTCTGATAAAGACTGATTTATGCAGTCTGATTTTGAGACACAGTGGGGTAAGTACCTAAGCAATGAAAAGGGCTTAGAATGTAATTCTTTGCATGCTTAGACGGAAAAAATACCTACAACTCCCATCATGCTAGGAGTTGTAGGCCTTTTCCTGGCTAAATATGCATAAGATTGCACCTTTAATCATTTATCATACCAAATTTTATTTTAATGGGAAGTTATAAATTCCCAGCACTGTCTGGGTAAAAAAACCCAAACAGTTCCTTTTTTATATTTAATATGCCCAATATTCTAAATGAAGGTTAATAGACTTGATTTTCTAGAGATAGAAGACACTCATTGACAAATTGGAAATGTAATTTCTGTTGGAAGACTAAAATGCTTCACTAATTCATGTATCTGCAAACATTTCAAACAATCATGATGGAATAGTGGAGCATGTATTTTTCTAATAAATTTGAAGATGCAAAAGCAATAACATTCTGAGCTGTGTCTTCCAGCCTCTCTCACCATGTTCTTAAAGTCTTATGCATTCTGATTTGAGGAATGCTGAATAGTACACAGGCTTCTTCCTCTTTTTCTTATGACTTTATAAAAAAACTAATAATTTAAAAGCATTCTAAAAATATTTTGGCAGCTATGAAATGAATTAACAGATGCAGACTTAATTGTACATTTAGTTTATGACCTGGATGACAAGAAATGTGTGCCCCTGCTCTGGACAGAACTATAGTTCCTGTTTTTTGGGAATCTGTAATTCTTTCCTTCTAACTTTTAGTTGTCTAATATATCTTGTCTATCACTCTTCTATCTCCTCTTGTTCAATGTGTCGAAAAGTTCTGTTTCTCTTGTCTCATAGCAATGAAAAGAAAAATTGAGAATGGATCATTTTCAGTTTTCAAAAATATTATCAGTTGGACTTAAGTAGCTCGCAAATAATTCAGGGCTCAGAATTTAAGCCAAACAGATTGTAGAAGAATGAAAGTGGGAAATGCAGCAAAAACCACAGTGTATGTAATGGATCTTGAGAAAAGCATTACTGACTTATACATAAAACATTTTGGAACCACTAGGTATTTCATGATGTGGCTTTTGCTTTCTTTCTAGACCGTGGACATACATAAAGAGAAAGTGGCCCGCAGAGAGATCGGCATTTTGACAACCAATAAGAATACATCCAGGACTCACAAAATCATTGCTCCAGCAAACATGGAGCGTCCTGTAAGGTATATCCGAAAGCCTATAGACTACACAGTGTTGGATGATGTGGGCCATGGAGTAAAGGTAAGAACTTTGCTCTCTTCCCACCAATATTTAATTACCTGAGGTAGCAAATGGTATTAGATGCTTATATTTTTTCCTATTTAGAACTAATTTACTGCCAAGGAACTGCCAAGGAACTCTGTTGAAAAATAGGATGCGAAATTGTACACAATACTGCCAGTAGTGTGCAATTTCAAGCTACTTAAAGCAGTGTGTTCATTTTTTAAAACCCAGCTGTTACTCCTCTCTCCTTTAATTAGCTTAATCTTTCAGGTCCCCTCAAAACTAAGCATCTATTTGATGGTGCAGGCATATGAAAATTTTTCTGTACAGCTCATCCTCCATACACCATCTGAATACCGGACCAAATAATGACATACTAAACATATGTTTGCCATGTGGCCATCAGTTCCAAAGGCCTGACGGAGGAGAGGTGTCACTAGGGAGAGAATTTCCTCATTATAATTTAATATTGTTCACAGACTTAATTTAAAGGCTCTCAGCTGCCTGACCATTAGATTTTCTTTAAATGGAAGAAATGATGTAGGTGCAGTGGTATTCAGTATACAGTAGACAAGAAGTTTCCTGTATCTCTCAAAACTATGAATTAAGATAGTGCCATGCCAGAAAATAAAAATCTTCATAGACTAAGATCTTCCTCAGAATTATCTTGCATAACCCAAACTTGTGATTAGTTGAAAGCAGACTTATGATTAGTTGAAACAAACCAGATTCATGACTGTGGGTTGATATTATTTTCATAGGTTGTCCAGGTTTGGACATAGATATGGCTAGTCTTAAATGACAGTGAGAACGTCTGAATTTCTTCTGACTCTGCTAGAAATGGAGAGGGGCAGGGGGAGTCCACAAGCCTGAGGTTCTGTGGCTTGTTTTGTAGCAATAAGCCATGATTTTTGTTGCATCTGAATGGGACCTATATATATCTGTGCTACAAAGAAACTTAGCAGTTCAGAGATACTTGCATCTAGAGGTTTTTCATGCAAAATGTTAGTGTTTCATTTTTGAGGATAGCCATTTCTTTTTGTGTTCTGTTCTCTCCTGCTTTCATGTGGGAAACTTATCATTAGATCTTTTCACAGAAAGTAAAGATGGCCTTTTCCATCATCTTGTCTTGGGTTAACCAGGAGGCATTCCTACAACATTCAGATGCTCTGTGCTTGTGATGGTGCTCTCTCTTTGGCACTTCCTTGGCTAAATTCTCTGGTAAACATGGAGGCAAAAAGGAACAAGGAAGCAGACATACCTTAACAGAGCTTTTCCTTCTCATCTTAAAGGAATTCATACAAGTCTTTGAATGCATTTAAATGGCTCTTAAATTACTTCAAATACATGTTAAAACAGATGTCATGCATCCATGTCATGCATAAGGGACTACAAGATAACAACTGTTGTTCAAATAGTCCACTATTTTTGTAAGGGAAAGAGAAGATGCCAGAAAACTGATCTGCACAAAGTTTTACGGGAAAGTGTTAGGTTCATTTATGAGGTTGATCCTAATCTTGTTATGAGTTTGTGGTAGAGTGACCAAAACTCCAGTTTGCTGCTTCTTAGCTGGAGAGAAAACTTGAGGACCAGCTTTATAACACCATCGCAGAGTGTGAAAATACCCTCTAACTCCATCTCCCACCCCCACACCACTCCTGTTCCATTTGCTGTGTGCACAGAGTTTGTGTTTACTATTGCATATATTTGACTAGCTTTCTTTGGGTTTGTTTCTGAACTGATGGTTTTATAACCCCATATTGACTTTTGAGCATTAAAAATTTGATATGATTTGAGCTTCTTCTCCAGACATTTTAATATTTGATTTTATACTTGGATATTATTTATACTTTTTTACTGTTAATATGTTGTAACTTATTGATATCTGACCTCAGCTGCTTATTTCTCTGTTTTATTGTAGGTTGTTTTTATTATTGTTATTTTATGAAATATAGTTATTTTTTGTAATATTGTAATCTGCTTGGAGATTTTTTGGACCAGTATAGTGGAATATAAGTTGAGTAAATAGCAGCAGCAGCAGCAGCAACAACAACAACAAATTGTTGGGCCTTATAGAAAAGCAATTCTGTTATTGGGGTTCTTTGAAGAGATAGACTAGCCCACTTCATTAAAGAGGTTGATTCTCATCTGTATCCTACTGTGGGAGCTAACATAATGACACATGTGCTTGGAAGTCCCTTTCTCAAACTATGCCTCCAGTCATGAACTGTTTGGGTGGCCTTCCATTACAAGCCAGACTTGGTGTTCCTGTCCCTGAACTGCAATACCAGGTGTGAAAATGCCAACTAACTTTCTATTGTGCTGTACAGTTGACTAAGCTAACACCTTGGGTACTTAGCAAACTATTGAGAGTTATATTTCAGGTCTATTTAGAATGGGATAGTCTTTCTAGGCAGAGAGCACTTATTTATAGGACTATATTGCAGGTAGATTGGGAAAACAAAGTCCTTAATAAATTCTGATATTTCTTTAATTGTTTTTAGAAGCCAGCCCCAGCTAGCTTTTATGGAATGTATGCAAAGCAATCTTGTATGAAAGACATTTATGCAAATATGTGCAAACTGATGTACCTTTCTTCATTAGTACTGATTTTCTAAGTACAGAACTTCTAAATAGAAGATTGCTTCTTCAGATTATAATTAATATATTTATAACTAAGGTAGGTATAACTGCATATGTTCAGGTGGAAAGCCCTGTTCATTACCATAGTTAGCAAATGCATTCCTTAAATAATCATTAGACATAATTGACATTTTGGTGGTAGCTAACATCAGGAACCTTCAACATTTTCTCCAAGCTCTGTATTAAAATTTTCACATGGTGGCATGTGACTTGGCCAAAATTATGTAATGAATTCATAGCAGAGCAGACTCAGACTTTGTGTCTGTCTTTTTAGGTTCCCACTGGTCCTTAGCTAGGTTCTTGACCTACAGGGCTCTAACATCAAAAGGAAGGGTCATGAGTATAAAGTTGTGCATATAAAGCATGTCATTCAAGAGAGGGAGAAATATTATAAGGGTGGGGCCATGGCTCAATAAAAGAGCACAGGTTTTTCATAGAAAAGGTCACAAGTGGGATCCTTGGCATTCCCAGGTGAAGGAATTATCCTGGGTAGTAAGATCCTACCTGGGGCATTCAAATTTCTGACAGTGAGAGGAGAGACTATTGCTTTAGACAATACAGTGGTCTGATACAAGGAAAAAACAGCTTTATATGTTCACAGCAATGGCAAGTATCTACTACAGACTCATTTCTCATTTACTTTATTATGATTTTGTAAGCTACTTTGGAAATTCTGTCATAGAAGCAGGGAAGATTTCCCCCAGCCCTTTAAAAAGATCAGTTTCTGTATGCTGATGCATATTTGGGTACACAACTACACAAAGGAAGGGGAACCCAGTTGACTGATAGCAGGTTAAAATTGCTCTCATAAACAGTGTGCTTGTGGGAAAAGTAGCGCCTGAATCTTTCGAACTGCTGCCGGCCCATTGAGTATACGAGGTGTGCCCAGAAAGTAACGAGAATGATATTTTAAAAATCATTCTTTGGAAAATTTTACAATTGAACACCGTCTTCTTCAGTTTATGCACCGTGTGAGTATACACAACTCTCCCAGTGATTTTTGCATTCTTTATAGCATCCCTGGAAGTCTTCAAGTGGAATGGCGTTCAGAGCCTGTGCACTGGCTGTTTGGATGTTCTCCACACTACCACAATGGTGTCCTTTCAAACCATTCTTCATCTTTGGGAAGATGCAAAAGTCTCAAGGAGCCTAGTCAGGGCTATAGGGTGGATGGGGCAGCACCATGGTGTGTTTTTCAGCCAAAAACTCTCTGCTAGCCAAAGCACTGTGGCTCAGTGCATTGTCGTGATGAAGGATCCAAGATGAGCCAATCTCAACTTATGCCATTGGTACACTTGTGCAGATGATAGCACAGCTTTTCCCTAAGTTTCCTCACCATTCCCAGAGTTTCTGATGCACTTTTACCCAATTTCACACAATTTTATCATGTACTACTGTTCCAAACTTGGTTGCATTTTTCTTAATACGAGGCACTTGAACAGGTGTCACAAAAGAGAATGTCTTGGCTCTGGCAGGGCTGGAATGCAACTGATAGCAGTGTTCTAATGTATACCTGGCACCCCACCCCAAGTGACCTCGGCTAGCTTCTCCCTTCACAGAGCCCTTCTCGAGCATAGGGACGTCATTCTCACTACTTCCGGACACACCTCGTATAACCTGCTCCTTACCATCATTTCCCCAAACAAATCATATGGAAAAATCAGCATTTATTTGTTTGTACTGGCAGGATCCAGAACAAGAAGAGCAATCTGATGTGCAGTCAGGATAGATTTTCATGTGCTCTTCCTTTATAGGAAGGGTTCCGTGCCAAGTAGACATGAATCGAAGAAGAATTCTTTTGGTCCTGGTTCCCCATTGGAACTACCCACAACTGTTTCAGTTATTTGCAGGCTCTTTTGAATGTATTTACTAGCTGCATGTCAGTCTTGAAAGAGTGTCACAATTGCTGCAGCCATGGCATTCTGTTGTTAAATTGCTGGATTAAGACGGAGCTGAAAGATCCTCCTTTTGTGGAAATCATTCTGCTTTCACTGTGATCATGTATGAAAATGCACTTCTGTACCTGGACTGCAATTGTCAATTACAATGAAAACACTGCAAATGTTGTAACATTATCATTTAAACCTGCCATATGGACAGTCATAGATTTGCCATTAATTTCTACTTTTCTTCCTCCTTTTCTTTTTGCCAACCTAAGTGGCTAAAAGCCAAGGTAAGAAGAGTTATTTCTCATTTGACCCACAGCACCCCATGACAATAGAGGCTGCTGAGCCGTTACACCCCAAAACTAGCTCGCTCGCACTCTGTCTATCTCTCCCTTATATTTCTCTGCTCCTTCTTCCATAGGTTACTTAGATGTGCTGAACTTCAGCTCCAACTGACAGTTAATATATCACTGATATATTGACAAATGCATTTTATCCATAGATAACATTTAATTTCTCTAACATACATAGTGCTTTGCTTGGATGTGGTAGGTGCTTCTCTCATATCGACTTACATTTTAGACAAGGTTTCCCAGAAACACTTGCATGCCTGTGCTAATTAGATAGCTGGACTAAATAAATACGTTAGTAAATCCTGAATACAAAATGGGGTCACTGGATCGGACAGGGTCATGGAAATAAGGTTGGTACATGAGCCACTACTTATGCTTAGTGTTGCTTCGTTTTCATTCATGGGGGGCACACAATCACAAAAGTGGGTGGGGGGGGAGAATAGAAAGCTTGGACATGGGATTTCTCTTATTGTGTTTAATCCAGTAGGCAGTAAAAGAAGCTGTGGTTTGAAAGCTGTCTGGGAATCCTCACTTCATATTAGTGTATTGAAGCATTGCATCAGTATATAGTTGGAGCTATTTTGGTCCCCAAAATTAAAGCATTATTCTGGTTTTCAGCATGGAAACAATCAGCCTGCAAGAACTGGCACTTTGTCAAGAACAAATCCGCCTACACAAAAACCACCAAGTCCTCCCATGTCAGGCCGGGGAACTCTGGGGTAAGAATAAGACTTCTCATTCCGCTTTTATGGGGACAAAGAACAGTTTTAATTGCTTGTGTCAACATTATCTAGTATTTTTCAGCTGTTGTTGTCGTCAACTGTTAAATAAGCTGTATAGCTCACTTCTAAAATAACATGAATTTTAGGACTGAGCATCTTTTTCATGAGGCTGTTTAGTGGCTGTCTCCATGCTAAACACACTTTCTTAAAAATAAGGTCAAGTGATTTCCCTGGAACCAACCTCTGGGTGAGTGATGTGTAGGATAGCAACCTGAGCTAGGAGATTGCTGGTTTGTTTCCATTCTGGGCAAAGGTGAGAATTTCTCATTTCTGATAAGAATATAAAGAGTGTTCTGTCTATGCAGTCTGACATCTTAAAAAAGTGAATCAAATTGGGTTGTAGTATTAATTTAATCTGTCTGCCTGACTGAACATGGCCGGTGTTTCCTATTCACAGGACTGAATTCACCAGAGCGGTGTTCAGCTCTGTGATAGGAACCAAAGAATGAGGGCTGGGAGAAATGAGCCTTGGCTGGGAGGATATGTGCTCATTAAGCTCAAGCATAAGTAATTGAAGGCCTGTTGCAGGCAACAAAAGCTTGGTGCCCCTGGTGGCTGGGGATGATTGAGGCTGTAAACCAGCATGTCAGGGGTGTTGAACCTCTACTAGCCAAGAGTGGAATTCCATTTTGGAGAAACTCTCTAAGGCTGCATTGCAGTGGTGGGTAGGATGAAAGCCAAAGGGGTTACACAGAAACAATAGCTTAAAGCTCTTAAGGCCACCAAGCCTTCAGAGGGGTATTTCACCCTTTCAGAAGAGGGCAAAATGGTGCAAAACTTGGGAATTGCCAGTGGATTGGGGAATGAAGGAGGAGGTGGGGTTAGGGAAGAGGGGAGTGGTCAACTTGGAAGCCCCTGAGCATCAGATTTGGCCCTTAGACCTGAGGTTCTGCTCCCATGAGCTGCATGGGCCAGAAGCAAGGTCTGTAGCAAACCAAAACAGACATTCTTTGGATAAGTTGCTGACCTTACATTCTGCTGACTAAGTTGCTACTGGCCCTGTATTACTAGCGCATAGATTCTCAGACTGTAGGTTTGAATTCTCTAGAAAGAACACAACAGCTCAGGTCATGGGGTCAGGTAAACAGAGAATCTTAAGAGTGATCATCCTGCTTGTAGTATCAGTGCTTGAGACTCCACACCTGCTCTTGGGGATCCCAAATGTGGTTCTAGCACGCAGTGGCTGGAAGGTGGCCCTGCTAGGATTCTGCCCTTCAGTTTGTTGCCTTAAGAAGCCAGACAATTCATAACAGGGATGAAGCAGGGAAATAGCACTCTTGCTATAAAATATTTAATATCCACAAATCTATCCATTTTGGTATGCACCTTATAGCAATGTCCACAGATTGGGAAAACAAATGGTCAGCATGGAACTGAGGGGAGGTGAGTGTGCCAGAGGGAAGCATAAGTGTGACAACCTTGCGAAACATTACCTTAGCTGTATTTCGAAATTGGATAAATGACCAGGGCTCCACCTCTGCAAGCATGTCTGTATGTGTTATAGTGGAAATGGCTTTCTTGCTAGAGATGTGGAATAATGCATAATTTCACCATTTTGGTAAACATGCAAAGCTAGTTTAAAAAATCTATGCTTCAGTAACCTGGAATGGAGTTAGAACATTTAATGGCTACCTGAGCTATGGAGCAGTATCCAAAATATTTAATATTTAATATCCAAATATATTTAATATTTAAAACTGCAGCTGTAGTTGAAAGCTATGGTTATTCCCAATGCATAGCTGAATTGTTGATTTAGGATTAAAGGGTTTTAAGAAGTTAAAAAAAGGAAGAGGGCAAGTTCTCCGTTGTGAATTTGCTTTAATATGCTTGCTTAAAGATTACCTTCTCTTATTTGTAAGTAATCTTTCCTCCATGTGTTTAGTAGAAGCTTAAACAAACCATATATATATATATATATATATATATATATATATATAGAGAGAGAGAGAGAGAGAGAGAGAGAGAGAGAGAGAGACACTATATGCTTCATTGAAAAGTATAAACTGCCAAATAGAAATCTTACAGAACAGTCAGTCAGTGCTTTCTAGGTTAACAGTGGAAGTTTAAGAAAATTCTAAAAATCCTGGAAGACGGTTCTGCATAAAGCCAGCAATTGGCATGCGTTCTGCTTCATTCTGTGAAGCAAATGACTGACAAGACGAGCCGATGAGTACATAAATCCTGTACAGAGCAGTTTGCAGCTGCCACTGACTCAGTAAAGAAACCTGACTCCTGCATATGAATAAATACTAGGAAGGCCCAGTTAGTGATGAAAGTTTTGAAGGAATTCCTTTTCGTACTGAGTTTTCATGTAAGGAAAGCAGAGCTTGAGGTAACTGTTTCAGACTGTGAGTTACTTGGGATGTAGGTGCAGTCGCATTGGAGGGCAGGGCTGTGGTTGCATCTCAGAGTCAGGCATGAAGTAGGCCAAAGCTTAAAAATAAGTTGGGTCAGCTTTCTGACTGAGCCAGAGAGCATGCTCTCAGGAGCTGCTGGTTCAAAAATTAGGTCAAATACTACATCAGATTGCAATTGATTCGCCATGTAATAGGACCAGTTCAGTGACTCTGAAATGCGGGTATCACTGCTACTCTGGATTTCCCCCAGCATTTGTTTTATTGATATAAATCTATCAACTGTGTCATTTGGGGTTCTCCTCTTTGGTCATCTGCCAATTGGCATGAGTCCCTTAAAAGAGTTTTCTTGCCCACTGGAAGATCACCCTTTGCAAAATGAATTTCTTCGTGGTGAGAAACATGTATTACATACAGAGAGTAATGGCCTATTTCTCTAGACTATGGTAGAAGCCATTTCTTGTAAAGCAGGGGTGGGCTGCTTGTGGTTTTCCAGATGTTTTGGCCTTCAGCTTCCATCAACCATAGCCAACATAGATAAGAAATGATAGGAATTGCATGCCAAAAATCTGGAAGACCAAAAGCTGCTCACACCTGCATTATACACTTGTATAATGGAACCTTCTTGATCACATATCTGATAATAAATTGTTCATAATATTCAGTTCTACAAATATTCTGGAGTTAGTACAACTGATGAATATCTATTTGGGTGCATTTTTCTGTTCACCTTGTCCAGTGCTTCATTTTCAAATGTGGATGCCTTCCAAATATGATGCCAAGGATCGCCATCCTCCCAGACTTAATCAGTGTACCTGCTAGGCCATTATGGTGGCCTTCATAGAGAACAGAAAATATACTTTTCATAGTAACTGAATCCAAATCCAATTGCAGAACTGCATCCTCTCCTATTGCAGTTCTGTGATCTCAGATGGATAGGCCTTCATGTATTTGTCAAATGTGGCTGATTGGCAAATGCCACCAGCTGAGATGAAGAGGGCTTATGAGAAGTAACTGGTCTGTGACTGGTCACACGCACCATGTCCACCATTGTATGAACAGGCAAGGAGTGCCATCACAGTCATTTGGTGAAACTGCCCAGAACATTCTCCCAAAATTCCAAGTATGGCCACCAACCCAGAATGGTCAGGAGAATCCTGCCTTATTTTACTCTTTCTGTATTAAAAACAGAGCCTATCACCACTAACTGAACATTAAGGGAAGGAATTATAGACTAGTTTCTTCCTCACACGCTTATTTCCAAAGATAGCCTCATTTTGTGTAGAATATATATACAAACTACCTCCAATACATAGTGTAGTCCAGGAACATTTTTTGCTTTGATGAGCGGATTTCCTAGAAAGTTTCAGAGATTTTTTCTGAGTCCCTTTTCTAGCTTTTCCAGTGCCTCCTCTTATGTGCCATTTCCTTGTGTCCTCCAACCATAGTTTGTTTTCTTCAACCACATCTAAACTATGAAGCATAACACGAATTGGATTTGGGTACTCAGGGTTTGGGAGCTAGCATTAACTGCAATATCCTAGCTTGGATATCATCACAAATCATAGTTAGACCAACTTGGAAACAGAGGAATGATTTGGAGTAGGAAAAGGGAGCATGTGGCACACTTTCAGACATTTAGAAAAGTCTTTATGGCAACTTCGTAGTATTTATGTCCTCATTTTACAGTTGTATAGATATGAAGTATTCCTAATGTGAGACCAAGTGAGATATAAATAATGAATAAAATATAACTCCAAATTAGTCAACAAAGTTTTCCACTTAGTTGGCCACTAGATTACAATGGTATGGGCCTACAATGTTGGAAAAGCTAGCTCTTCTAATGCTTTTTTCCCCTTCTGCAGCATTTTAAAATACTGTCATGAATATTCCCATTTACCTTAACACAAGCAGTAACTTATGTTGCATTTTCATGGCTGATAAATGTCATTTACCTTGGAATATTCATCATGTTTTATATTGCAGTCTCCCTTATACATAAACTCATTTACAGTTTCAATATTAATCATATTTGCCAGCGCAACACTGTATTTTAAACTTTTTCCCAGGTTTCTGTGTGGCAGAAATGGGTTTGCGGGAACCCATAATTTCACAGCACAATTATGGGTTCCCTCCTTTTAAGATGAAACAAAGTAGAATACTTTAGGGATGACATCATTTTACAGAACAAAAGTAGAACTTTACTAAGCCGTTAAAAGAGGAGTGCTAATAACAGTTGCTACTGTAGTAACCAATGCTACTGGAAAGAAACAGATCTCAAGTTGGTGTTTTGGCAGTAAGTACCTGTCTGTTTGCCTAAAGTAATCCAGTTCAGAATTTTAACAGGAAGTCTAGTGGCCCCCTTGCCTTGATAACATTAAAGTTACATAAGTGCAAGGGGTAGCACATGCAAAAAGTATCCCAGACTTCTCAGCCAAATGCATGAGAAGTTGACATCCCTACCTACAGCAATCTATGGAAACAAATGGACAGTTGTCCCAGTTCTTTTGCCTGACATATTTAAACTGGGGCTGCTTGTGGGACTGAGCCTTTGGCTTCATAGGTGCAAGAGCTCATGTTTTCTGTGAATTCCCAGGGCATTTATAAGATGGGAGGAATGCTAATGATGGCAGTATAAACAGATCCCATTATTCTGTCAAGCTTACCTTCTTGTAGAAGCTATTTTAATATTAAATTTGTTCCAAGGTCTATAGCTGTGAAAACATTGGAATAGTCCTTACCACCTAGATGACTGTATATTTTGACATGACACAACTGTCAGACATATACTACCCTCCTAAAGAAGTGCTGCACTTAACATCTGGTGGAAGTTAAATGGCATAACCCCCTTTGTTTTTAATAGTGATTAATATGCCCAGGAGGTATAGCAAGACTGGCATTAAAAATACACTGTGGCAAAAGAGCACAGCATGATGGTGTGCAAAGTTGTAACTTTAGGTCAGGGGACCTGCGGCTCTCTGGATAATTGGACTACAATTCCTATTATCCCCAGCTACTGGCCATGATTTGTGGGACTGAGGGGAGTTGGCTTCCAACAGCACCCAAAGGGCCACAAATTCCCCATTCCTGTGGAAGGATAGCATTGCAGCTATTTGTTTTTCTGCTGTATTAATAAGTCTTGTTCTTCTCCCACTTCATGCCTTCAATAGACGGAATACTCCCTATAAGACCCTGGAGCCTGTTAAGCCACCAACGGTCCCTAATGATTATATGACCAGTCCTGCAAGACTTGGAAGTCAACACAGTCCTGGAAGAACAGCATCTTTGAACCAGAGGCCCAGAACACACAGGTAAAATGGGAGACTCTATGACTTGTATGCTAAGAAATTGAATTCAGGCCCAGCTGAACTAATTGATTTTTCATATACTTATTGCATTTCTATACTGCCCAATAGCCAGAGCTCTCTGGATGGTACTGGGAGGGGTCCACAATTCTGTGTATTATGGCAAGTGTTCCACTGCCTTCTGTGGAGCATGATGCAATGTGAGAAGCTCCAAACTTCTCCGTCTACCCAATTCCAGAGATGGGAAGAATATTCCTGCATTTGTTCTGAGCTGCCAAGAAAGTTGGAGTGGTCCAAGCCAAGTGCTACACTGGATTCAGTCTCCACCCCGTTTCCCTTCTCTAGATTCCTGCTGGGAGAGAAGTCCTGGAGCAGGAGGCATATTGCAAGAACAACTCCTCATTCTTCTGTCCAGCTTCAAATATAGAGCTGGGGAAGGATGTGGAATCATCCTGCCTCTGCCTGTGTGCAAGGCTCAGCAGGATCCAGAACTGGGCCTGACATGGCACAAGATATAGGGAATATAAGAAAATGTAATAGGAGACAGCTTCAGGCAAGCTGAGTTTGACCATGAGGATGTGACCATGGCAAAAGAGACATACTATAGTGAAGTGGCCACCTTTCCTGATGGATAAAAGAAGGAGAAGGGTAATTAGGGAAAAGAATACAGAGGAGGGGCAGGAAAGGGAGCAAATGAAGATAAGATGGAAGTGGTTCATAATGGTGAGGAGGGCTTAATTCTTGATAGGTAGTTCGAAAAGCAGAGACATGGCACAGCTGTCATATATATAGTTCTGTGCAATTCATGGGATTGTGCAAGCTCACATATGTTTAAGTTTACATCCACTCCCAAGTGCCAAATTTCTGTCAAAGCTTCTTTTGCAGAGCAGTCAATTGAATTTTTTGGCTTTTCCTTCCAGTTGGAGAAAATGTGCTAATTCTCTGATAGTCACAGAAACAGACAAAGTAGAGTCCTGTGGCTACTAGTATGTGGCACAGGCCAGCTTTAGACTGCAAGTGCCTGGGATTTATATTTGAACATTGCCCGTACAGTAACCTTCCACAGCCTGGCACCCTCCAGATATGTTGGACTACAACCCCCATAATCCCACAGCTGTGTAGGTTATAGGAGTTACAGTCCAACTCATCAAGGGAGCACCAGCCTAGGGAAGGCTTTCTAGGTTAAAAGACAAAACCCAGAAACCTACCTTTTCAATTAAAGCTGTCATGTCAACAAGAAGGGTTTTAGCTTAGCAGTTTCTCAGATCCTCTGCAGGGAGCTTTCTACTTCAGGAGATTTGGTCAAAGTATTCAGACATGCATACTGCTCACACACCTGGCGGTTTGATGTACATGGCGTCAGGGGATCCCATCTGATTCCTCAAAATATGTGGATTGGCCACCTGTAACTACCTGTAAATGGCTTGTGATATTTATTAGTCTGCATGACCTGGCTTGATTAGACAGCTCCTCTGAATGGATGGAAGTGCTCACTTTGCAACTTTGCTCCTGAGAAGTGTCAATCCAAGATTGGAAAGGAACGCATTGCAGCTGCTTCTGTAGTGAAATATAGGTAAAATTGTTCAGCATCTTAGCTGCTTTGAATGATTAAATACATAGCTGTGGTCATTGTAATGAGGAGCTCTGATAATTTGTAGAGTAGTGTAATGTAAGCTTATAAACTTGACATTCATTGTAGATCATGCAAAATGACAATAGTTCTATTTTGAGAGAGCCTGCAGTTGGTTAAAACATTGTCTCATTTAAAACAGTAGCATAAATGTCGTCTTGTACATCCATTATCTGAGGCAGCGGAAATGGACTCTTCAGTGTCGTAAGTGGTTTGTGGTTTGAAATTCAGCTGCAACCATAGCAACAAGTTCAAGATCTCTGGCATGCTGAACACTAATTTTTGTGGGAATGATTTGTGACCAGGTTGCAGTCTTTAAATTCTCTCCTTATGTAGTGTCTGTTTGAAGTTATTTTGAATGCCTGGCATTTAACTCTGTGCCTTGTTTTGGATAAGTGGCAGAAAACTGAGCAGAATGGGAACAATATTTTAATACATGCCTGAATGGCTTTCTTCCTTTAATGATAAATGGTCGCTTCATTTTCTGACTGGTCTGAGTTCCTGGAGTCATTTCTCCCCAACTTCTGACTCAACTCTGACCTGTGAGTGTGGTGGATAGAGACTGCCAGCACACCTGGACAGTCGAGCTGGGTGCTTAGATAGGTTGCTGGATGCATCTCTCTCATCACACCTCAACACACTGGAAGCAGCCTTGCACTGAGTGAGACCATTGGTCCAGGTAGCCCACTATTGACTCTACCTGACTGGCAGCAGGTTTCTGCCTTTCTGGTAGAAGTTTTTCATGTCCTACCAGGAGATGCTGTGGATTGAACCTGGGACCACCTCCGTGCGATCAGGTGCACTCCCACTGAACTACCAACCTGCTGCAACAGTTTCACCTGGAGAACCCTGTTTCCGTGTCAGATGGCTGTGGCTTCTTTGCAGAAGGCACCTGTAAAAAAGCCTTGTTCAATTTTGTCGTAAGATGCATGTGGCTGCTTAGAAGAACATGCTTGTTTCATGACTGGATTTGCTAGACACAAAGGACAGCACTTCACCTTACAGGGATTTTTGGGAACAGATTTAAAGTGTAGTGCTGCCCTCATACCTTGGGCCCGTGGATCCATCTCTGCTGCATACTCACATTATGATCGCACATAGCTTATGTTGTGAAACATTTAACATACAATTTGTCACCCTTAATTAGTTTATTCTGCCTGTAACCATTCAGAGCATTATGTTAGACCAACAGTTCTTTAGCTCTTAGAGATTTCATTACACTTTTAATTAAATACCTGAATAGCTAAAACTGAGAGTGTGTGTGAGTATCTAATGACTAGCTCATTACATAAGTATATGTTAGAATTTCATGTACCCTGTTCTGCTGGTATGATAATATGCAACAGATTGCTCTTTCTCTTTCCTTCCCCCGCCCCTTTTTATTCTTTTTAAGCAGAAAAAAACCATACATACAAAACATCACAACAACAACAATATAGCAAAAACACAATATTTTAAAAAGTAAATAATAAAGTGCCCCCACCAACCCGGAGACCAAAACTACCACCTCTTAATTCACATATTATAACAATAATATATAATATTTATTTATTTGTTTGTTTAGACAACTTATACTTCAATTACATTCATATCCCCTCCAGAAATTCATATAATCTCAATTAGGTTTACAGCCTTTGTCTTCTATCAGTACTGCTTTTACAAAACTTCCCAAAACTCATTATATTTATTTGCTTTCATTAACCCTTTTTAAATTTTATTTCTGTCGTTAGTTGCTCTCTCTCTTTCCCAATAAATTCCCTTTATATACAGCCATGTGTGTACATATGCATGACTTAGTCATGAAAATAAGGTAACTTGTCTCCCTGCTGACTGCTGCATCTTGCAGGGCTCCTCTTGATTTGCTTGCACCTTTCTTGTTTTGATATTGAATAGTGGTAGCAGTGGAGGAAGCGGCAGTCGAGAAAACAGCGGAAGCAGCAGTATTGGCATTCCCATTGCCGTGCCTACGCCTTCACCACCAACTATTGGTCAAGGTATCTACTGAATAGCTGTGAAAATATCCTGGATGCAGTGCAATTTATTGATGCGCTTTCAATAATTCTATTAGGTTGCTGAGGAGAGTTTTAAGGGCATTTATTTTGATTACATTTTGAATGTTTAGTCATTATAATTCAGTTTTTACATGACAGCTTTGGAACAATGTAAACAATTATTAAATGATGCAAAAAAAGATTACAATCCCAAATTAGACATAGTTGTATGGATTGAATTAAATTAAAATAATTGGGGGGGAAGTAGGGTATGCATGCAAAAAATCTCTTCCACAGTGGTTTTTCCTTACACTACCTCAGAGTTGCTTAATTCAATAAATGAATATTGATAATTACTTTAAGGTAATTATCAATATATGCCTCTGCCCACATATATTGTCTTGTCTATAAATTAATTTCAGACTGATGCACAAAGACTGACTGACTGACTTTCACCTTTAAATTGGGAGAGAAACAGTTCAGTTGTCAATTTAGTTATTATTTTTGCTTTGGAATGAGGCCATGAGTTGACAATATAAGGCAGATACTTCATTTCAAGTTTACTAGAATCTTCATCTGCCTATCCCGAAAGTGGGAAGTACCATTACAATCCAAACAGGGATTATTTCAATGGAGACGAATGGAAACAGCTTCCATGTTGGTGGCACAAAATTAACCTAAGCAGAAATGGAGAGGTGTGGTCAGGTTTCCTCTGGCTTGGAACTCTGTGTCTGCCATGGTGGAATCCTCATTCACTGTGCCCATTACATTTGCCTAGGTCCCTTCCTTGTATCCTATCAAATAAATATAATACATAAAATAAAAAGATGACTGTGGTCACCCAAGGAACATGCTCTCCACATCAACCACCTGGAACTCCTCACTGTAGCAAAATTCCTTGAATGAAATCTCTGCCATTTTCTGTTCTTTCTCTTGACAGTGTCATGGCAGCAAATTGTGGGTTAATTAAACCACAATTTTTGGGATGGGAACAACTTCTGGTTTGCACAGGCACCTTATTTGTAGGTTATTAGTGTGATAGCTGAACTCAGACATGTCGGGGGTTTATGAGTTAATGCAAAAGTAAACCTAACAGTAATGTGTAGGTTTAGAAGACTTTAACCCATAAGTAACCCAAAATGGCTGGTTTCCTTGTCAAATTAACAACCCACGATGTACATCTTCATAAATCATGGCAGCAAATTGTGAGTTGATTCACCTGTGATGTGTGAGGATGAACACCACTGGTTGTATTTTTAGGATTCCTCACCCCTAAAGTAGCTTTCTCCCTAATCTGATTCATTATCTATGAGGATTTGTGTTTCATGCACTTCCTGTGCCGTGAGTTCTTCTATATCCCTCCCCTCTCCTCCTGGTTTTCTTCACTCTGCCCATCATCCATCCTCATCACCACAAGTCTTGCTGTTTGTTTGTTTAGAACTTTTGTATACCATCCCATCACTGATGTCTCAGGACAGTTCACAATAACAGCAATAAAAAAGATAAAAATATAAAAGTAGCACAGCATCCAATAATGCATTATCCCTTTTGGCTCCTGAATTTCAGCTGTTCCTGGGTCAGCTCCTGGTTCTCAGTATGGCACAATGACCAGGCAGATTTCCCGACACAACTCGACCACTTCTTCAGCTTCTTCTGGTGGATTTAGGCGGAACCCTTCTGTGACCGCTCCATTTTCTGCTCAACCTCATGTTAATGGCGGACCTCTCTATTCTCAAAACTCAAGTAAGCTTGCTGGGTCACTGCTGAGCATGGAACTCCTGGGGTTGCTTTTGTACAAACCAGTGGGAAGGTTGTACAAAATTCTTCGTTTATCATTGATCCAGTAATTAAGTCATCTTCAGATGTAACTGCCTCAATAGAATAAAGCTCAGTTTATTAGACCAAGGACAAGCTTGGAGCCTACGTACCCTCTCTTTATTCCTCACTGGCATGGTTTATTGAATCACAGTTTCCCACTGCACCTTACCTAGAAAAATATGGTTGAATCTTTCCCTATGGACCAGAATCAACCATGATTTTTTCAGACCAAGATCATTATATTTTTACTGGATTCAAGGATGCAAACAGTATGTTTCCCTAGACAAGTCATTAAACAAATTGCCTGAGAATGTACCTTTTAAGCATTTTATTTGCTGTCAGATTTGTCAGTAGTGTCATTACTTCTGTTAAGGGTACTGGTAAATTTTTAGCAGGCTGGACCAGAAATACCCACCTCATCTGCCCCACTCCATGAAGTGGAGCAAAAACCCACTTCCATTCCCACATATAGAGTGCCACCTTCAGTGTTCTTTCAGGGTTGTTGTATTTTTGTATGGCCTAATCATGGGGTCCACGGGGTCCAATCCAGCCCATGATTTTGTGAAAATAGAAGGAAAATGGCCCTGATACTTTTGAGCAGTGGTTTTTCAGTAGGATTAAAGGTCTACTAATTGCTTAACACTTGTTGTTTTTTTACAATGCAGTTTTTTGTTCAAAGTTAGGGATAAGCCCTAAATAATAAGTAGCTTGCCATGCTTTTAAAAAATAGCCTTTAGATACTAATTTTAACTTGGCAGTCATTTTCATCATTATTTTGAAACTTATGATTTAACACCTAAGTCTTGATAATATAACTTCCAGGTTTCCCACTCCCCTTGAACTGGTAACAGATACAGGTTTGGGTTGGGAAAAGAAAGAATGTAAGAGGAACAATGAATGGAAATGAAATCTGTGGAATATTGGCTGTTGTGTTGTGTTACTTTGCCACATGATGGGAGAAAGATTGTTTTGAAGTGAGGTCAGTCTTGAAATTTAATTGTCAAAATTGTTTAAAATGACTGTGTACTTGGAAATCTGCAACCAATTTCAAATTTGCAATTCCAGTCTATTACTCTGCTGAACACAGAGCCTTTAAGATGCTTTGAATCGCAATTAGAGGAGAGGTAGTATAAAAATATTCTCATTCCAAATATTCTGAATCTATCCTATTATCCTCTCTAACCATTTTTCAAACTATCTTCTTGATATTAAAAAAATTGCTAGTGGGGTTGTACCCAAGTGTCATTTTATACATGAAAGCTAAAACAGTGGAAGGTCTTCTGAGTCAACATGCAGGTCAGAGCCAGGAATTGGGTTCTGAGAGATCAACAATGTGCTAACAAGATTTGTTTCCATCTGATGTAGGTTCAGCTTAATTTGGATCAGTCTGAGGCCCTTTGTTGTTGCTATGCATATTCTGTTATGCAAGGCTGAGAACTACAGCTGCACATACAGTCATAATTAACGTCCACCTTCCAAAGTCCCTTTGACTTACTGCCATTTCTTTTGCAATTCAGTCTGAAATGTTTTCCTTCTTAGAAGGAAAGAAGGTGGAATGCTAGAGCCTCATTGTGCAGAACACTTTAAACCTGATGCATCGCAATGCATTTACCAAACATGCCGAAGGTATATTTTCACTCTGGGCATTGACTTGGCTTTAACGTCTATCCAGTTTCGATACTCGCTAGAGTTTGGGCTGCCTTGTCAACTGCATGGAACCTGCCCTGCATTTGTGTTTCAGTTTTTTTATGCAAGGCAAAATGTTTCTGGGTGTCTTGACAGATGGACATGGAACATTCAAAGAGGTTGGAAAGTGAGGGAGCTCTGTTCTGTGGTGCTGCCAGCATGCAGTGATAGATACTTTTACAAATATATCTTATGTAATGTGGGGGATGGTGGAGGACAGAAGAGCCTGGAGGAATGTTGTCCAGGGAGTCGTGAGGGGTCGGGCACATAACGTAACAATGTGGGGATTTGTCTGGCTAGCAAAGTCACAGTTATTTTATTTTTTGGGGTATGACAAATTTGCCATTTTGACTGACTAGGAAAAAAACAACCAAACCAAACCACACCACAAGGCACACCACAGTCTATTTTACAAATGAATCACTTTCCTAAAAAACCTTACTTGAAGATTTGCAAAGTTGCTTCAGAATATAAAATAATAAAAAATTGAATCCATACAGGTCATCTATCTGCTCTGCAACACTTGCCATTTTCTGGATGTTTTGTTTTTGAGATTCCCTGTAGAGCACAATGCCACATGTGCTTTCCTCCCTTTTCATGGAATTTTACAGTGATATTTGCTCTTAAGGTTTGCTGTAAAGAATACAGTTTCTTCTGTGCTCCGTCCTTCCTCATAAGACTTTGCAGCAAGATGCTGGGGCTTCCCAGTTTAAAAGCAGAAAAAGGTAGGAGCGACCTCTAAAACTGGAAGTGCAGATTGTAGCCTTACCCCCAATAAGCTTCCCTCCCCGTTTTTCTTTTTCAAGTGTTGTTGGGCTAAAACTGGAGTTCAGCAGTAGTTGTATAGCTGGGAAAGCAAACTTGGAAGAGGGTCGTGCTGTGTGCCTTTCTGTTGTTCATTGCATACCTTGTTTTGTGGTCCATTGTTACTGACTGCTGCTTTTTGTTTTTGTTTTCCTTTTCCTGTATCTGTG